GGGGGGGGCGGGCAGGGGCCCGCCACGAGACGGGCGGGCACGGGACCGCCACGAGCCCCGGAAGAAATCGGCGAGGGCGACGACAGGACCGCGACGGGAGAGAGCCGCAGGAGCGCGGCGCGGGGTCGGCGAGAGCGGCCGGATGGGGGCGCGGGACCGGCAGAAGGGCAGGGGCCGGGGGGGGGGGGAAGGGGGGGGGGGCGGGGGGGGGGGGGGGTCACATCCAGCCCCCAGTCACGGATAAAAATCCCATTTTGCATTTTATTTCCTGGGGGGGAAGAAAAGCGAAGCCGGGGCAGGATCCGACCACCCTCACGGCCCTGGGGTCTCCCCACCTCCCACCGACCCCCCTTCTCACTTTCTGCTGCCAGGAAATTCAGTGGAATTGCCCCAGATGTGAGCAGGAGCCGGGGCCAGCCCACATGGCGTTGTTCTTCACCAAAACAGCAGCTTTTCCCATGTTTCCAGGAATATCTCAGGCCACCTTTTGTCCCAGATGCGCTCAGGAACCGCAGCGTTTGGGGGATCAGCAGGGAGGCACACCAGAAATATAAGACCTTTTCAATCAACAGGCATTTACCTTCAAGGTAACTTCAATATTGACATTTTTAAGAACTTGGGAAAAAGGCTTCGTCACTAAAATGCTCTTTGCACAGAGGATTGAAAAAATTCTGGCAGGGCACATGGAGCATTTAGGGACACACAAGAATCAGGGTCAGATTATCATTTCTTGGCTGTTTTCTCCTGACTGTGTTTACAAATAATGTTAATGCCTTTAAAACCAAATAAACCTGATCTCTCCAGGTGCTGTTGGCTCTTAGAATGAGGCCCCCAGGGTTTACGATGTAAAGCAGGACACAGCACAGGTAGAAGTGTCTTTAGTTTCTTTATTTTTTACTGATTTCCACCCAACCTCACCCCCAGCCATTCTGCAGAGAGCCTGTGCTCAGGACATCCCCCCGTCACGACATCACCCAGCCACGATTAAAGGGACTTTTTGCCAAAAAAAAAGCAGTATTTTTGGATTTAGGGCAAGCACGACCCGTGTGGCCGAAGTGACTAAAGCTATTTTTCTTTCAAATTCAGCCTGTGCCTGAGTGATGTGCTGCACAGGCAGAGCCCCAGGGGGTGGTTGGAGTTATTTTAATAAGCTTTCTCCTTGTTATCAGGGAATTTCCGTGCAGGTGGGGCTGCAGGAGCAGGTCTTTGAGCCAGGTTTAAGGTCAGGCAGCTCCCAGGGGGTGATGATTAACCCCAGGGGAGGTGCTGGGGCTCCAGCTGTGCCTGGAGCAGCCCAAGGTGCTGGAAAAGGTGAGACCAATTCCCCAATTAGATATAAAAGGTCATGGCAGGGCTTTTCTGTAAGGGATTATTCTTCACCATCCCTGGATGTGTTTAAGGGATGTCTCCTCACCATCCCCGGCTGTGTTTAAGGGATGTTTAGATGCGGTACTGAGGGACATGGTATAGGGGAGGACTTTGTAGAGTAGGGGAGATGGTTGGACTCAATGATCCCAAGGGTCTCTTCCAACCTGAACAATTCTATGATTCTCTAGCAGCTTGTTCTGCTCTGGAGCTATTTGCTAAACTTGGAAATAGCCTTTAAAATGCTTCCACAGAACTTGTAAAGGCAAAATATTACAGTGTGGGGGGGAAAAACCCCAACCTGGGTTTGCCCTGCTGGTTGGGCAGAGCTGTGCTCAGTGATGAGGTTTCCATCTCCTGGATGTGAGGGTGTGAAGGGGCTTTTTTGCTGGTGGAAGAGCTGGATGAGGCCGATCCTGCATCTCAAGGCGCTGAGGAGGGAGAAGGGGAGACCCAAAAATGTGAGTATTGGAGGCTGGAGCTGCCAATCTGTCTGTCCCTCTCCCGGCAGCACCTATCTGGGGGAGCATGGGGACAAAAATGTGAATCTTTTCCCCAGTGTGTCCCCACTGAGCGCTGGGGGGGCAGGAGGAGAGCACGTTGAGGGGGGCTGTGAAGCTGAACGCTGGAAATAAGAGAGGAAATGAAAAAAACCAAGTGTGGCTGGAGCCAGGCTCAGGCAACACAGTGAGGAGCATCAGGCTCTTGGCAACGGTGAGCTCCAGGGCTTTGCTGGGGGGTATCGGGTCGCTGCCGGTACCCGCTGGCTCCGGGGAATTCAATGAGCCAGGACCAGGCCAGAGCATTTATCGTTGCATAAGGCGGTTTCAGGGAATTCCTTTCTTTGCTTGATGTTGCCCAGGACCCTGCCCCATCACCCCGACGTGTGTCTGGGCTGGGGCTCTGCTGTCCTGGGGGTGGGAGCAGTGATGGGGGGAGAAATCCCTAAATCAGGGGGATGGCAGGGGGGGAGCAGCATCACTCCTGCCCCGGGGGGGTTCTGTGGAGGGCGAGGAGGGAGCCCCTGGGCACAAACACAGCAAAAGGGGGTGCAGAGGCACAAGAAGTCTTTCCAGTGCTGGGGTCTGGGTGGTTGGGGTGACTCGTGGAGCCCCCCGGTCTGTGGGTCACGTCATAGAGTCATAGTCATAGAATGGTTTGGGTTGGAAGGGACCTTGAAGATCATCCAGTTCCAACCCCCCTGCCCTGGGCAGGGACACCTCCCACCAGAGCAGGTTGCCCAAAGCCCCCTCCAGCCTGGCCTTGAACCCCTCCAGGGATGGGGCAGCCATGACCTCCCTGGGCAACCTGTTCCAGTGTCTCACCACCCTCACTGTAAAGAATTTCTCGTGGTGCCCGCTCATGGGCTGCAGCTCCTCCTCATCCTCCCTCTCCCAGCACCCACCACAGGGCTGCTTGTCCCACTCTGTCTTCTTCTGGAACCCGTTCCCCCTTGTCTGATGCTGTTGGATCACCCTGTGAGAGATGGAGAGGTGGAGACAGGCTCTAGAAACAGGGGCTTGAGAGAAATTAGCCTTAATTGGGCAATTATTACTGTCACACAGTTGCGTCGTGTGATTTTTAAAAAGAGGAACCGAGTGTTGCTTTGCTATTGGTACTTGATACTGACTCCAGTGGCGAGATGAAGTTAATAAGGTACAACTCCTAACGAGATTTCCCTGGCAGACAGGAACACCAGCGTCCGGTGCCGCCCGTCATCGCCTCGCCTCCGAAATGTTACACAAGAGCCTTATGACGAGCTCGGTGGTAACGAGGGCTGAAATCAATCTGGGGATAATTACCCTGCGGACCCAAGGGCCGGGCTGGTGTCACCTCAGGGCAAACAGCCACCCATTA